GCTGCTGCTGCTGATGCTGCTGCTGCGGACAGTGCAAAGCCGAGTCCAGGTAAACACTGAAGTCTATCGCTCTCTCCCGCTCCTCAATGCCCAGCTCCGTCATCGAGTCACCGAGCCTCCAATATGCGCCGCTGCTGCTGACGGGACTGATAATGCTGTCTCTACTGTGGATAGCAAAGCTGCCCTCGTCGTAGAAGCCGGCCACTTCCATGGATCTTAACACCCGCCGGATTGCAGGAGCATGGAGGGCTGAGATGAGTCGCCCACAAGAGTTTTTTGTTGTTGGTTTGTTGCTTCAGTTGCCTCAAGTCGTGTGAAAATGAAGCGAAATGTGTTTGTTTTTAAATCCCCTTTCTGGTGTCACCGCCTGTGACAAACACGCAGTGAAACTACTTTGAAGAGACTACGCTCATGGATTTGTTGGGAGGAATTTGACAGGTCTTCCTGTCTCCGGGGGTTTTATTAAAGAAGCGAGGGGGCGTGGTTTAACTGGGGCAGGTGTGTGACGCGCAGCGAGCGAGGGAGCGACCAACCTGCGGTGCTTTTAGAGAGGAGCCCGCTTTTAATGTGTGCTTAATGTCATAATAATAACCATAATAGTAATAATAATAACAATTATAATAATAATAAAAAAGATTATTATTATTATTATTATAATAAAATCTGTTTCATTTATGGGACATTTGTGAGCTGTGGTGCAGACTTTGGGTCGCAGCAGCAGAATAAAAGAAGAGAGGAGGGAAATGCGATTAAATTATCATAAAAGAAAGAAACTGGGGCAACAAAAAATAAAAAATAAACTTAATTTAGAGCTGTCATAACAACATAGTTTTTAAACCCAGTGTTTGATGACAGCGCGTCCTCCACGCCCTCTACTGTCAAATCTGTCAGACAATAATGGAAAAAACCAACTCAGTGGCAACCATTTTCTGCGTTCAAGCGTAATCATTTCATAAGAATATACTCATAAAAAGCTGCCCATTAGACACATCTCCAGACTGTTGTTCCACCACAACATCCACAGGCTGGTTTTAAGCAGTCAGTGTGTTGTTTGTGTTGTGAAACTGTACATGGTGATGCATCCAGTATGAGGGTCAGAGTGGGCGTTATGAGAAATTTAGTGCGTCTGGTTTGTTTTAAAACTGTTCCATGAGTACACAGGTGCCAAAATATACACAGATATACACAGATATACACAGATATACACATGCTTCCAGGCTGTTCATAACTTTACTTACTTATTATCCTGTTACGTACCATTCGTGGTCAGAGCTGAGGGTTTTTCTTTTTGGATTTGATTTGAGGTCTTAGCGCCATCTTGTGGTGAACTGCGAGAAGAATAAATAAATAAATATATATATATATATATGAGTGACACAACAGAGTTCATGTAAATGTTAAGGAGATGTGTAACTCTCCATAAACTGTTTCACTGCTGTGCAGACAAAAACACTTCTCTGGTTGGGTCTTAATAACATCTCTTGCCTTTTCCCAGGAATCTACTCTTTCCCCTTTTTAGAATCTGTGACTTTATTGTTATATATATATGTGTATTTTATTTCTTTATATTAACTATCTTCTGTTACCAAAATACTGCAACTCTATAGTCAGGACATAAACAGTGCCAGATTAACATACTAGGAGACCCTGTTGACCAGATACTCCCAGTCTTTTATGTTTCCCCTGTTGCCTCTGGTTTTCAAGTCCAGTGACATTTATGCCCAGAAAGTAACCAGGACCCATGTTTTAGGATAACACCATCAACACCATCCGACCCAGGTCTTAAAACTACATGCTGACACAAAGTCCCTCAACCAAATTTCATGTTTATCTTAGTTGATACTGTCTGAAAAATCTGCAGTTAATCAAATTACCTAAATAAACCTGGGACTTCTGAGGCCCCTGGGGGTCGGTTACCTGCTTTACCTGGTTGGTAATCCAGCCTTGGACACACATTTTGAAACACTCAAAGGTCCAGTGTGTAGGATTTAGTGTCATCTAGTGGTGCCTTGCTTCACCTCTCTCTGCCTAGGGCGTCGGAGAAACAACAGTGGGCGTGAAAAAAGTGTGATTCAACGTGGCAGCCTCCATGGAAGAGGACCTGCTCCCTCCGTGTAGATATAAAAGATTCATTCTAAGTGGTGTAAAGTAACTAACTACTTTTACTCAAGTACTGCACTTAAGTACAATTTTGAGGCTCTTGTACTTGAGTTTTTCCAATTTAAGCAACTTTATATTTTTACTCCACTATATTTGTGCATTCGGAGGGTTACTCGTTACTTTGCACATTCATATCTTTAATAAAAAATATAAGCTTAAACAATAAAAGCCAGGGGAGTGAATGAAAAACAGCTTTCAGTATCGACCCGTGGTGGAAAGTAACTAAGTATATATATAGTATTATAAGTAGTATAAGTATAATAGTATTTGTATAACAAATTGTATAACAATTTTTAGGTACATACTTTACTTGAGTATTTCCATTTTATGGTTTACTTACTTTCTCCTCCACTACATTTCAAAGGGAAATATGATTTATTTACTGATTTATTACACAATATTTAATCTCCACTATATTTAACAGCTATTTAAATTTGAAATCATCCTGATTTCGTTTAGCCACAACCAAATTTTTATATCACAGTAAGTTGTTAAGATAACACTGCTTCCTCTTCAGAGTAAAATACTTTTAAATAGTTGTATTTAAGCATTCAAAGAGATATTTCTTAACTGTTCTGTTGCACAAGAAACAAATTAGTTTCAGCTACGAACCTATGTGGTAAAATATGGGAAATTAAAACACGTTATATCGCCTAGCAGTAGTGTAAAATAACTCTTAATATAAACAGTTTGTCTAATATGAACGTCCACTTATGATACTTTTGTGTAGGCCTACATTTTGCTGAAGCACTTTTAAGTAAATTAATGAATTTAGGACCTTTAGCCCTCTTGTAATAGAATAGTTTTACATCAACATATTGCAACAAAAAAATGTTGCTAAACAGCAGCAACTGTGGCAACAAGTGTGACAGAATAATGTGACAAAATGTAGACTAACTGTAACAGAAGTAGGTAGAGGAGAGTAAATATAAGGTCAGTTGATCAACTTCTTAACTTTTTGACCGTTAGTGCAACATCCGGGTACTCACCATACTAACCAGTGTAAAGTAAACGCACGTCTGTACTCTCAAAAAATATATTATAAATAAATAAAATGGAAATATAGGGTGCGTTTAAATGCTTATGAATTCAACTTTTAGATGTGGACGGGCGTAATAATGTGTAAACTTCTTATTTTAAAAGTTACACCGACTCGTACTTCATCAACCGCCGCTGTTGAGCCGTTAGTGGCTGACCTCACTTACATGTCCGGCCACAGTTCGAAGCTGCGGCGTCACACAATTTGACGGGTGACGGATGTCGCCGTAACACCGACTCCAGTTTCAAACCGTGGACTTTGGCACCCAGTCGACGGTTAGTACGTGTGTGGGCTCATGTATACACAGAGAGAGCTCCGCCTACCGGCATCCAGCGGTAGTGTTGCGAGCAAATCGGGCACCAGACAGGACGGGTGGGGTCAGGAAATGCGGTCTTTCCCCCCTCGCAACGCCTATTGGTCACCCGGCTCTCCGTGGAACGTTTTCCCGACCGGTGATTGGCTGCTGCGCTCAACGGCTTTCACTTGATTGGTCGAAAACGCTACGCTGTCTGTGGGCTGAGAAGTGGATGACTCCGTTGGTTCCTGGCTGTGAGTAGAGAGAGAGATTGAAGGGGCAGGGCCCACAGTGGAGAAATGGCGAGAATGGTGAACGAGAACGGCTGTGAAGCGGAAACACAGAACCCAGAGCCGCAGGGACCGGGTCGGGGTGCGGCAAGATGGGGTCCACAACACGCCGGTGCCCGAGAACTGGCCAATTTATACTCACCAGGTGAGTCAAACCCCTCAGCAGCTGCGTCTCATGGGGCTTGTTCCCCCGCTGCAAGTGTCCACGAGTGGCGTGATATTACGACAGGCTTTACATAGCGTAGTTACCCAAGTAACAAACTGGGGAGGGTAAAAAAAAAAAAAAAACTACCAAAACCACAAACAACAACGCCGGTTTATCTTTGAGCTGCAACGGTGAAACGACACCGAACAACCAGCGACAGTTCAGCGTTTGTCTCAGTCACACTTTTGTTGTTACACAATGGGAATCATGTGAGATTGGTCGGGTTTGTGATTGAGTCGCTGTTGTCCTTTGACATTTCGAGCATCAGGCGGAGGTTTTGGAAGAATCCACCGCTTCTGCTTTAGGCTCAGGCTCAGGAGCCGCGGTGACCTTTTCCTCACAGTGTTTGTTGCTAAGTCAGCCCCATAAGACTGCAACACGGGGAGCAGTGCGTTACCAAAACACTTGAGATCTTGGCCATTTCCACTGTTGCCATCCTCCATACCATTTGGACTTGACAGGGCCTTGCACCCCCAATACTTAATGCCTTTAGAGCTCCTTCGTGTCACTTGAGGACACCTGGATCAGACAGCTTGGACTAGTTGGTGAGCAGACTTATTCCTCCCAGAGGGGCGGTGTAGGGTTACTTTTGCATGTTTGGTTCACCCTAAAATGAGCCAGTAGTGTTTGCAGATTGTCTCTGAACTGAACTCCTGCAGCTTGATTTGAGGGCAGTGAAGGTTATTATGAAATTAGCATGAACCAGAAGAGGTGTTTTCAATCAGTACTGTAGTGTGAGACAGCTACACAAGAAGAAAGTGTGCCGATATGAATGAAAGCAGGTTTTTTTTAAGTGGGTTTACTCTTTATACCTGTGCATACTCTGCACTACACTGCTGTAATATGTAGACAGGTATTTCAGGTCCAGCTGCTGATAATTAAGGGCTTTGTTTCCTCACTTGCTGTCACCGTTGTGAAGAAGCATTTGTTTTACATTATGCTGACTAGTCTTCTAACCTTTGGACATTTTAGTTTAGATATAAGGTGACATCATATCAAGTTCATGTGCTATAGACTGATAATCTTATCTTAAATGTTGCTTATGATGACTTTTAATCGCACTAATATGTCTGCTGGTGTGTTTGTTTTTCTTATCTTTTAAGGCAAACGATGTCAAGAATGGATAAGTGTTGTCCTCTGTTTCTCTCTCATTGCCTTCAACTTCATTCACCTACTTGCCAATTTCCACCTGGGACATTCGTGGTACATCCTGTCGAGCATCGGTAAGAGCTGACTGGATAATTACGTAATGTTCTTGATGTTGTGAAGTCGTTCTGTTCTGTTCTGCTGTGTTTTCCTAGAGCTGCTGCCCAAACAAGTGTTGGTTAATCTCTCGTCTTTCTCTTCCTCCTCACACTCATTTTCAGTGGCAGGAATACTCACCGCAGACTTTGCGTCTGGACTCGTTCACTGGGGAGCTGATACATGGGGTTCAGTGGATCTACCCGTCTTTGGAAAGGTAACACACGAGTAGATTTTTCCCAAACTACGATCCATTGTTTGTGCCGTAAATAATCTGTTTTTCGAAACATTTCCCTGTATTATGTGTTGTTTCACGCCCTATCTGTCCTGCAGGCCTTTATACGACCATTTAGAGAGCACCACATCGACCCCACAGCCATCACCCGTCACGATTTCATTGAGACCAATGGTGACAACTGCATGCTGACCATAGTCCCTCTAGCAAACATGGCCTTCAACTTCCTCACCCTCTCCCCTGGTGAGTTTTGTATCAACAAACTGAGCCTGACATTTTTTTTTTTCTACATGAAAACGCAGTCTGATTTTTTTCTAAACAGTTCATTCAAAAGAACCACCCTCTTCTCTGTTTGTTTCCTCTTTACAGCGGAGGTTTACCACATCTACCCCTGGTACTGCTACCTGTTTGCTCTTGCCATCTTTGTGACCCTTACCAACCAGATTCACAAGTGGTCGCACACGTACTTCGGCCTGCCTCGCTGGGTGGTGCTCCTCCAGGACTGCCACATCATTCTTCCCCGCAAGCACCACCGCGTCCATCACGTCTCCCCTCACGAGACGTACTTCTGCATCACCACAGGTTCGTCTTTAATTTCCTCGTGGGGGGATTAGAGATGGAAATCAGACTGCACGTAGTGATAGTTTATGGGATGAGTGTCGTGCAGGTTTGTCATTGAGCTTTTTTTCTCTCCAGGGTGGCTGAACTACCCTCTGGAGAAGCTGGGTTTCTGGAGGAACCTGGAGGATCTTATCCAGAGTGTGACGGGAGAGAAGCCCAGGGCGGACGACCTGAAATGGGCTCAAAAAGTCAAGTAAAGTTGCAGGCTAACTGCACCCTACCTCAGAAGATGCTGGCTCCGTCCAGGCTTCTCATCCCCTTTTTTTGCCTCACTTAAACTGTAATCCGTAGGAAGAAAAACTAACAAACAATTTCTGATGCCATAGCTTTAAGTCTTGCACATTTTGTCTGTCTTTCAAGAGGAGGGCTCTGTTGATGGATTTTTTTTTTTTCATTACTCACTCATGGAGATGATTTCAAATTGCAATATATTCATAACTGTTCGTATGTCAAACGCACACTTTTTTTTCTTTTCGAGGTGATTTATGAATGCTTCTTTGCTAAGAAGGTTTGATCAGACACATAATTTGCTATCACTTTCCAAGGAGATCATGTCAGAAAATTCAAACAATCCCGAAAAAGAATACTTGAAAGAGTGCGCACTTACTCTTTTCTCCTCCAGAGTCACAGTTGTTCTCTTCGACAGTCGAAAAATCGAGTTATATTTAGCACTGCTTTATTATCTCTGGATCAGGCGTTATCACCTTTTCAAGGGTCTACTTGAGGTGCAAGTGATAAATTTGGATTTAGGCCATGGTAAGTAGAAGGGTTGAGGTGATGCTTTACCAATGTTCATAGCTAAAGAACAAATTAGTTAATTACTGTTACCTTTGTTGACCTCTTGCACATTTGGGTTCAGCTGCACATTTACAAAGCTATTTTTCAAAGAGAGGTGTGTTCACGAATTAGATTTTTTTTTTTTCAATACTAACCAGTGCCCAATGTTGTTTCTCGTAACTTGCTCACGCAGCCATATTTAATAGTTTTGTCATGGATTTGTCAATCTGAGGCAATGACTACAGTTACAGTGGAAGAGCCAGTGCTAGTCCAAATCTTCCCACCAGGATGCAAAATGACAGGTCTGACTCTGGGTTTTGAAGTAAACAAACCAGAAAAACAAAATCAGTTCTTTCACTCAGACCCTAAACTGGCATTTTTATTGGAATTGAAACACAGAAAATTAGTAACTTTCTCTAAATTGATGTAAAAAAAAAAAGTCAGTGTAACTGTAGTCGGCGTCGACTCTATAACAAAACCAGGGCAAGTAAACACATGTATCATGCTGTTGTTCTGCTGAGTCAGTGTGTCCCTACTAAATAGTCTTTTCAGTTGATCACATGTCCGCTGTGAAAAGCATTTTTAGCTTTTATGTGACTGACAGTTTTGCAAGAAAGAGGCACATGCAGTTTTGTCAAGCTGCCTTACACAGCACAGATGCAGTATGTGTCTTTTTGTTGTTGTTTTGTTTCATTTGCAGCACTCCTCGTGTTGTTGCAATGGTAATTCTGTCTTTCTGGGATTTCAGATACTCCTATTATGTGCCAACTGTATTTAACATTGTTTTCATTCCTGCTATTGTTTTGTATTGTGGGAAGGAACAGTTTCAGAGCGTAACATTCCCTGTGAGTTATGTTGCCACTGTGTACCGTCTTGGTAGCTGTGACAAGCAGACTTGGTGATGTTACAAGGGCTTGGGTGACGATCCAGGAATTTCTTCACTCCTATAGATGAGATTATGTAATTAATTAATTGGTTGCGATTTTTTAACGCTTTAGTCAGCCATTTGTAAATGTATTGTACAGCGAATAACTATGCAGTTTAATAAGAGGCCCTTAACTATACGTCTTAACTCATCTGATTAGGTCAAAATGCCTTTCTTTTTCTAATTGTTTACACGTATTTGCTAAGTTGGAAAACTGGAGCTTAAAAATTTCAGTACTTAATAAACTGCATGGCAAAATTACTTTTACTAATAAAGATGTCACTTACACAGACGTAAGAATGCGTGCATGCATACAGCATGTCTGCTTGTGCAAGCAATACACTGGGTCACCAGCTTTCCTTTGAGCTTGTGTAAAGCAGACACCTGAGTAGGGAGGCTCATGCCCGCTCCAGATGAAATTTACTGTGCTGCTTCCAAAAGGTGACCCAGGTTCGAACCACCAAAATGTTATCTTCGTTCCAAGGAAATCCTGGCAATGACTTTTCAGGTTTAAACGGAAGGAGCAAACCTTGCGGTTCAGTTGGGTTGAACAGGTTAAAGGCTGAATTATTAAGCTTCTGGTGTTATACTCAAAGTAGACAATTAAATGATAGTAATAGTTCATCTTAAGCCAAATTATGTTTTATATTATGTAATATTCCAACTTTTGTAATCCTTCATACTTGATTATAGAAAATGATTCACCATAGGTCAACAGCATAAGTACACTGCAGATTGCATAGTGCTTGTAGAGTATAGCAAGATGCAGTTTTTTTGTGCGCCTGGTAGTGTAGAATATGCAGGTAAATGGAAGCTGTTAAAGTTTAAGGTTAGAAGTTCTCATTGATCCGCATTGGGAAAAAATATTTTTGAGCTCCGCTAGCTGCAGTCAGTAGACACATTTGAACTTTGACAGACACGTTATTTTCTAAGCAGGAATTCTGGCGTTGGCTCGACTGGATATTTCAGCGCTTCAGTAAATGGCTTTTTGTGATGATAAAGTAAAGTAACGATTTTAAGGATGTTATGTGTTTTTGTAATACTGCAAACTAGGACAATAGCTAATTATAATGGTTAGAAATTCTATACATAACATGCCATAATTAGTTTGGAGATTGAAAAAACTGACAACCTTTTTAAAAAATATGTGGTGAGCTCGGAAGAACTCATAATCTTTGCGCGGAGACAGACTATAATTGCTATTTTTTTGTCATAATTGGAGTCTGGTTGCGAGTGTAGATCTAACAAACATCGAGTTATTCTTCATTCTTATTCTCCAGATGATCTCAGGATTGTGGTTAGAGTGATTTAAAGTAGTTATATATGAATTTGTGGGGAAAAAAATAAAGTAAAACCCTCCATTAGCCAGTTCTAAGGCCGTTATTTAATAGATAAAAAGTTGTTTAAATTATAAATTTCCGTCAGATTCTGTTGATTCAGATTCGGCCATTTTTTAAAATGCGTTCTAGATTCTACTGTAGCCATATATCAGTACGGTTAACTTGGCCTCTTGTTATTGAGGTAGAAACTGTAATTAAGCTGTGTTTGGTTTTTTGCTTTGAGACAATGGATCAGTGGATTTGAAGGGTATTTTGTGATGATGTGTGGTAAACTACATATTTTCCCACTGGAAACCACTGGTAAGTGGTGTGGGCATTGTCGTTGGTATGTTTGACATGCTGTGTTTGAAATCGCTTTTGTAATGATCCTTGGATTCCTTTTATTGAATTGCCTTATCCTCTCCCTGATTGATTTACTGTAAATCTTGCCAGCGATATGGGAAAACAATTTATTGACTGAATTTAAATTGCCCTTCATTGCCTCTCGCTTCTTCTGAGGCAATACTCATATGGATGTTGTAGTTGGTTTATGTATGCTGGTGGTGATGGAGTTTTAGATATCAGAATAATGCCTTGATGCCTTTTTGTTGTCTTCAATTCAGGAGACTTACAATGTATATATTAAACTGTATTTATAAATAAACTAAATAAACAGTTGATAATTACACTACCTGTTTTATTTGATAGATGTCTTTCTTTTTTCTTTGCTTTAAAGATGTTGTTGCACATACTGTGTATTTACAGCCTTCTATGTCCCTCCCTCCGGCCATGATGTAAAAAATATAATATAAGCTGGACCACAAGATTGTTTTTTTTTTTTTTTTTACATTATTTTGTCTAGTTGTTACATTTAAAAATGTATTTATTTAATTTGGCACAAAATAATTGTAAAGGTCACAGCTGATAAAAATAAAGCTTGTTTCGGGCCTTCATTTTTAGTTTGGTATGAATGATGGTTTTACATAAAAATGTATAGAAACTGTAATTATGATGTTAGTAATGGAAATATTTTTTAGAATATTGTGCTGTTTGTAGTACCTGTATGTTGAAGAGGACCTCCAATGAGATGTTTAAGACGAAGACAAGGAGGACAAGAAATGCAAATAATAATTAACAAACAATAAAATAAAATTGGTTAACAGAGCAATTGTAAATGTTTTTAGTAAGACTTTTTGTCCACTGTGACAAAATGTCACTGATTTTGTTTGGTCAGTTCTACAGCCTTCAACACAAACCCCACAGCTTCCTTCACACCACATGCTTATTTATCTAAACAGATTTATTTGTGTATTTCAAATAATCACACAGTCATGAGGCCTTCTTGATTTTAAGGTGTGCTAGAAAACTTAAAGAATATACACAGTAGGCCTTTATCTCTCGGATTTGGCTCATTTCTGTGAACAAAGGTAAATGTAAATTGTCAACAATGGCCGAGCATTAGGGACAAAACATGGCATATGTCAAAAAAGAAGCCTATTAAGTTTGTATGATTGTTAAAATTTGTTTAAAAAAATACAAAATACAGACACATAATTGTATAAAAAGTTCCCTGAACAGGAAATCTTCTCAAAAATCCACCCAAAGCACTTGTTATATTCAAACATCCCGCTGTGACTGAGTCCACTGTTTGGGCTAATTGTGCAGTTATGAATATATATAATATGAAATACACATAAAATACGTCACTTAGTCAGTCGTCGTCAGCTTCCTAAATGATATAAAAAGACGTCCCTTGAATAAAAAGGTGGTTTTATAACAACACTGGTCGGGTGAACTCTTTTTTTTTTTAATGCCCCTTTAAAGCAGCCGCACAATGACGTCAGGCCGTCAGCCAGCAGGGACACAACAAAGGAAGCGACGCTCTTACGTTTCTCGCGCACGCAGCGTCGACCACAATGGCAAAACAACGTGCGCGCTCCCGCTGTGCAGCGACAAGATGGCGGTCGCCGCCCCATCAGGTAAATGTTGGAGCGAATTAAAACCACAATGAAACTCCTGTCGTTGAATAACCGGCTCAGTTCATTTACACCGCGGGGTTTTTGAGCTTCCTTGACGAGCTTTGTTTTATCCGCCGACGCAGCCGCCGTGCGGGGAGACAGAAGCTAACGCAGAGCTGGAGCTTTTAGGGAGAATGAATAGGAAGCGATGCTACGAGCTAACGCGAAGCTACGTGAGGTTGGATGTGAAGATGTGAAGATGTGAAGACTAACGTTACCGATCAGCGTGTGTGTGTGTGTATCAGCGCCACTCGTCTCTGCCTGTAGCTTTGTTACGGCGCCGTGGCTCGGTTGTGTTTCATTCATTAAAGTGAATTGAGCGTGGTAATGGTGTGTTAGCGCCGCCTCCCCTCGCGTCTAAATTATGTATTTTTTGCGACATGACATTGTGCTGCTGTCCTCTCCGGAAAACGGATGTGTCACAAAGCGGGTCGGTAACGTTGAATGTCACCGGTGCATGTTGGTGCATCAACACCAAACCTTCGTGCTTGGTTAACCAGACTGCTAAAACGTCAACAATGACAGTACGGTTTTCTCAGACTTGCAGCCGATGAAGAAAACATGATGTCCGCTGGGTTTCGGGGACGGGTTTCGGTGAAGGGCTCCGGTGAGCTGAGCTGAACGGCTGCACCAGCTGCCAGTGTGACTTGTGTTGTTTGCATGGCTTTGTTAAACGCTGCAGCAGCCTCATATCTCACTGCAGAGGCCAAATGATGCAGCAGAGTCGGAGCCAGGTGCTAAATTGAGTAACATCTCCTGTTCTCGAAAGGCTGGTAAACTAGGGCCTTCCTTTATTTTCCAGTCACGTTGTGTGTGTGTCTGGATGAGTCATGACACCACCAGCTCACACCTTTTTTTTTTATTTTTTATTTTTTTATATAACTGCAAGTCATTGCTCTGGGCAGGCTGACAGTTTGGTGAGCTTTGAGGTACCCAAAAAAAAAATGTCATGTTGGGAAGTGTGCATGTCTGAGCGTAACACGTTAACAACTTTTGGTTTTGCGTTTTGTCCACAAACAGGCGTTAAAGTTCCTCGCAATTTCCGGCTCCTGGAAGAGCTGGAGGAAGGCCAGAAAGGTGTGGGAGATGGAACAGTGAGTTGGGGTCTGGAGGATGACGAGGACATGACCTTAACCCGATGGAGAGGAGTGATCCTTGGTCCTCCAAGGGTGAGTGACACCATTGTTTAACCCTTCAGTGAGGACTGCTGGGTGAGCGTTATTTGTTCCAGGAGTTTAGCAGACTAATGTGACCAAAAGAGGGCTCAGGTTTGATCTGGGCAGCGTTGCTCAGTCGGTGTACCAACCCGGACCTGTGAGGGATGAACAGGAAGACGCAGAACCATTAACCTTTGCAGTAGTTGTACACGGCTGGGACTTTAAACGCCACAGCTACTTGAACTAAATATAAAAAAGGGAGCTGCAAAAGGGGTGGAGTGTAATGAAGGATGCTACATCAGTTGTGTAAGTGAACTTAAGGCAGCAGCACAATAAAAACACTGTAGTGGCGATAAAATATCACATTATATAATATCACAAAATGACAGGAAGCACAGTCTTCTGCGTACAGCATAGAATTAATTCCTTTTTGAAAGTCAACATTATAGCATCGATTCTTCATTTCTGTTTTTCTTTTTTTAGTTTTGCTTGACAGCCTTTGAGGTCTAGGTTTGTACAAGTGCTTCCCAATATGCATCTGTAATATATATATATATATATAAATAACTAGAAGACGCCTTCAGGACCTTAACAAGGACATATTTACTGTTTCTATGGAACCGTTTTAACCATCATAACCTGGATTTGGGGTGTTTTCTCCATGTATGGTATTGTTGAATACATTAAACACTGTGTGCTGTTTGTTGATGTTTAGTGTGCTCTCCTCTCCCCTCTCCCTACCCGTTTCTGTCCACAGACGAGCTATGAGAACAGGATGTACAATCTGAAGGTTGAATGTGGGCCAGAATACCCAGAGTTACCACCTTACGTCAGATTTGTGACAAAGATAAACTTGAATGGCGTTCACACCTCCAGCGGTGTGGTATGTACATTTCCTGAACCATTTGTTGTGTTTCTACCTTGATTGAGTGTTTTAAAATGGACCATAATGCCCTTGATCCAGTTCTTGCTGCAGTTGTGAATACGTTTGGAGAAAGAATTTGGCTCATGTATATTTTGTATTATCAAATTTGTGAACTTGCTTGTGTTTAAGAGTGAACACACAATGGAAAGATGTTTTTCTGGGCATGCCTGCCCCGTCAGCGCAGATAAGCAAGTTCCTGTTCTAAGTGCATGCATCAGTCCTTTGACTTCTAATGCAACCATTTTATTAATTCTGGCAGAAGAGATTAATATATGCGGTACATCTTCATTTAGACATTTTGGGGCACTTTCACACCAGCAGTTTAGTCCAAATCTGACCTAAAATCTTGGTAATATGCCCACTTTATACTAACTTGGCACAAGAAACTACCGGATCCACCTGAAGGAGGCGGTCTTAGATCATTTCCACTCTTAAATGTAGTATGTTTATTATTCTCAATTTAGGAGCAAAGAAAATATCCAAAGTCCAATAAAATATGTGGACTTAAGCTACTAGGACTCCATGATGTGGTAAAAAGAAACAAACATGATTTCTTACATCTGGAGAACAAGATTTGTAAGTCAGGGCATCTCTGCAGCACTACGGTACTTCATTATAATATTCTGATTAATTGTGCAGCCCTAGTGAAAACTTAGCTTAACATAAAGGAAGTCATCCATGATCCCACAAGACCAGCACCATCTTTAAAATGCGATTCCTAGCATTTATAAAGGTAAAAGTTAAGATTAGCGACTGTTTCTGTAGTGATTGTGATTGTCCTCAGAAACCCTACACGGCGGGGTTCATGAGCTTTGCGGGATCCAGGGTGTAACTTCACATCCACCCTTACTCATTCTCTGTCCCACAGGTTGACATGCATGCGGTGACTGCGCTGGCCAAGTGGCAGAACTCCTACAGTATCCAGATGGTGCTGCTGGAGCTGCGACGGCTCATGACGTGCAAGGAAAACATGAAGCTTCCTCAGCCACCTGAGGGCCAGATCTACACCAACTGAGCCCCTGATACTTTTACCTCCATGTTTTTCTCCTTCCCACCCCCCACCCTCCAACTCTTATGTTTTGCTTTCATCCCTTTATCCCCATCCTGCGCCATGTGACATTCCACCTCCTGCTGACACCTTGGCTGAGCACACACACACATACACATAGACCCACTTACACACACACACACAGCAGAAGTTAAGTATAAAATAATAGATACATACAAACATACACAAACACAAACACACACACACATATATCTCGTATACACACACTTATTGAGCGTTCATGAAAGTCATTCCAGGCACTGGCCCCCTCCCTCTCCCATCACTGGAGCTCTGGGTGGACTCGATGTGACGAGGCAGGCGGAGTCCTCAGTTCACACCAGATCCGATCATTCGAATACTGTACATGTCACTAACCTTTTTTTATTATTATTTGTTAAAAATGCAGATTGTACAATAACATAAATAATCTTATTGAGTGTACCTCCTTTTGTGTGTTGCCTTTTTGTAACATTGAAAAACAGCCACTTAACATGATTGCACATTGTTTACTTAAACGTGTGTTTGCTGTTAGTTACAAGTTCTTTCAAGGTGTACATATGAAACCCAAAACCCATCTAACTTGGCAAATAATGTTAAATATGTCGTGTCATGTGGCCAGATGTCTAATGAAATATTTCCTTCAGTGTGTGTTGATATGGGCTTGCACAGAATATTTTTTTTGGAGCAGTCTTGTAGTAAATGCATGACTGCAGCTCAGCAAGGTGCCTGGAAGTGGTCACACATTGCTTTTCTTTCCCTTCTATGTAAGAGTTGTCCAAAGTGAACATTGTGTACAATATCTATACCACTATATCTGATCTGAGTGTGCATAGTAGCATAGTATGCAAATCTACTGTAGGTCTGCAGAAGTCAAACCATGCTTGAAAAAAGAAGTGAAATCAGCTACCTCTTTTTGTCCTGTGTAACGTCCAGGGAGTTATCTGACTTGTGAAACTGTCTTTGCTACTTTATGTGACAATTTGTTTTACTTTCTCCACTTCTTTCATAAATCTTAATTCATGCTTCTCATGCAGTTGTGTTGTCGTAGATCACTACGTTTTAGAGCTCCAGAGTTACAGGTCATATGGAGCATTTCTACATAATTTGCTTTATCTGGTAACTTCTGCCCTCGAATGACGAGCAGATTCAGCAGAAATGTGATGCAAGCACTTTTAGAGGTCACTTAAAGCCATAGTTCAACAATATGTTTGCTCCATTGAGGTTTATTCACTTTCTTCTAGAGTTAAAGGAGGCCACTTCATGCCACTTGTCTATAAACAATAGATGACATTAGAGCCAGCATGTGGTTAGCTTAGCTTAGCATAAAGACTGGAAATAAAATAAATCTAAAGCTTTTTAATTAATCTGTTGTATTTTATTTAGACTGTTCGTAGAGACTGACCAGGCCAAGAAATAGTTATTGGTGTCACTTCTCATAACCTTACAAGAAAGCGAATAAGCATTACTAAAATATTAAAGATAATAAAATAGTAAAACAAAGAATAAAGATTTTGCTCCCAGTTAAGCTCTTACTGGATCAACAGTTACTACTTATTGGTAACACTTTAAACACAACTGGAAGAGGAGGTTGCGCTTCAACAAAGGGATTCTTTAAACTTTAAATACGCTTTGAGTTTGTGTGGTTAGAACTTATAAGTTAAATTTTACCATTTAAATATAATAATTAACTTAGATGTAAGATGACTTACATTTTTTTAAAATATTTTATATGAAGAAGAATGAATAAAATAAATGAATAAAATGTTACAAATACATTTTCCCCCTTTTTTGCTGGAGACCCACTGAAACTTCCTTAAGGACCTCTGGGAATCCCCACTTTGAAAACCACTATACTATGTTATATGTGGGTAAATTATATTATTGCCTTATGGCTGCCCTTTGTAAATCACTTTGATTTCTAGAGGCATATGAATAAACTTTGTTGTTATTATAGTGTTGCAGAACTAATGTCACTGAGGTGTACTGACATTACACCTTCCTGTAGAGACATCTAACTCAAGTCCACAGGCAAGAAAACTAGTTAGGTGGTGCAAGGACAAATACCGAGAGGGGGGGGATTACCAAATGTTTATCTAAAATACTCAAAGCCTTCGGCAAAATAAAGTCAGATGTAAGAACAGAGGTCTACATCTCCCTCTGTAGTCAGTTCAGCTCAGTTCACACATTTAACAAGATGCAGATGTGGCCTTTTAGAGACTAACTAACCCTTCATACTGTTCAATGAATATACTGTAAAAGTTAAAAGCAGGGTCCCAGATAGACACAGGTCTTCTTTACTAGTCTAGTGTGGCCACACAATTTGATAAATAAATGCAGGTCTCAATTATACGCCTGGTCTGGATTTTATAGAAACTCTTTGGATGAATAAAACCTGTTAAAGCCCACCATGTCGCCACTTTAGGGAGTTCTAAGCTGCTTCGATCTTGAAACCATGAGCACCAAAATATCAAATGAATGATTTGTAATTGATATGTTATTCAATAACCTAGAAATATTTATAGAAGTAATAAAGATACTGGTTTAAATACATAATTTGACAGCTTTGTGCAGAAGGAATTAAAGAACTGTACTAAATAAAGGAAGGTTGAGTTCAGTGATTGAAGCAAATAGAAACCTGGGTTATTAATTGAAGGTTTCCTGTAAGTGAACTTCTTGCACAAGCTGTATCTTGCACCTGAGACCAGCAGGGGGCAGTGCAGGCCAGGACAGTCAGAAACAACTACTGCAACACATTTAGTTTTTCTGCTGGAGCAAACACATGTAGGTGGACAAAAAAATGTCAAGGGAACCTAGAGAGTGCTCCAGCGCTAACTTGACCTAATTAAGAGGTGGGTGCAGTAAAGCCAGCTCAGTGGATAAAGACACTGCCCTCTGTTATCCAGTGGAGCTGAACAACGGCTGGGGTGGACTCTGACCTACCCATGGGCCATGTGATTCCCATCAGTGTATGTATGTAAGAACAGCCAAAGGAGGTCTGTCACTAACCTCTATATAAGATGACAGCAAGTCGTTTTCAACTAAAGAAACTTGTAAGTACATTCCCATGTCTAAAAGGAAGCTTATTTTGCTTGTGAGATAGTGAGTGTGTGATAAACACTGTTTTCTGTTCCTCTAAATCATGACAATCTGCACTAAGACCACACTTTTCTCTCCATTAGCTCAAGTGACTACGTTATTTAAAGGCGTAACACTGTTTTTTCCTTCTAAGAAGCCTTTCTTGAACCAACGTGGATGTATCATGTGTCATTATTATGACTTGTTTTTGTCCATCATCATGAGATCAGTGTGAAAAAGCCACACGCATGCCATCAGACAGAGCATGGAGGCCATATGGTTTGTTAGATTCCTCCACAACGTGTGAAAGGGATGTGAAAATTGTATCAGCTGCTTGAAACATGTACTGTGGCTGTGAACTAAAGCGACAGATGTTTTTGGTGGTTTTGAGTTTCTGTCAGGAGAGACTTGGTCTCTCTCCAGCTTTATCTGTGAAGAAAGAGGCTTGCCTTTGACTTTGCTACATTAAAGCACATGAAGGTGTTTACTGATAATGACCAATAAACTCAACTGGCCTCAACTGACATTTGCTCTCATTAATTATCAAGAATCAGCTGTGAAAGTACATTAACTTCCTGTACAGTGCTATTTTAGACACTTGAGAATTTCCATGTTATGCTGCTTTGTACTTCCAATACTTACATACACACAAAATATCTGATCAGTACAGAAAATATTCTTCAGATTAAACTATAACATTTTGCCTCAACTCCAATAGTTACACATATAAAATGTTGCTTAGACATGAATGCCTAAAAAGATGGAAAGACTTTTATATTGTTGTTCTTTTTTAAAAGGATCTGTTCACTTCCTCAACCACTGGCTCAGAGCACGAGTTTTAATAACTCACTGTATCTGATTCATGTGATCTGTGATGAAATATTGAGCCAACAGTCTAACAGTGTCTTATGTTCTCCTTCACATTTCCAACATTCAGTTCATTGTTGATGATTAAGAGAACATGATCAGACAGAGATCTGGTGCAGTGAAACCATCTCATTAATCAGCTGCATTAGAAATCGCAGGAATGTTTAATGAAAAGTTTTCAATGTCTCGAGTGGTTCTCGAGTAATTTCTGGTTTCTTTTTGGTTGTTGGAGGTCAGTTGTTGTGTATTGCAAAAAAAATTGAAATAAAAGGCCTCAGAGGAGATTCATCATGTTCAGTATGCCTTCTATTAAAGTGCCAGTTCACCCAAATTACACTAAAATAAATAATATTTTCTTACTTACTGCTAGTAATAATAATAATAATAATATCATATAATATAGATAATAAATGTATTTCTATACCATCTTTTGTACATAAAATGCATCTTAAAGTGCTTTACATTAGGGCAATAAAACAAAACACATTAGATAAAATATATACATACACATACATGTCACTAAAGAGTAAAAGATCCAATAAAAATACAAAAAAGCCGTAATACATAAAGTATTAGTGTTTATTTAAAGTGCACTTGTAGAATTCAAATGGCTTGAGTATAATATTATAAAATCTTACATTTATTTGTCAGGTTAATAGTATTTAAACCCATTTTCTAACATTATAATGACTGTATTTATATGTTTTTAAAGTAAAACTTTAACACTGAAATTTTGGAACAATATCTAAAGTTTAATGTTCCTAACTTTTTGTTCAAGGTATGACGCACAGCAGAGGTGGAACTATTTGGGGAGACGGTTTCTTCTTCATCAGACTTTCTTGGAACTGATCCGGCTGCAGTATGGCTCTGCTCATCCACATGCTGGCCTGTGCCTTTGGCCTGGGCTCTTGGGTGGCAGTGAACGGTCTGTGGGTGGAACTGCCACTCATCGTCAACACTCTGCCAGAGGGCTGGGAGCTCCCCTCCTACCTGACAGTCATCATCCAGCTGGCCAACCTCGGACCTCTGCTGGTCACCCTTATGCACAAACTGTGCCCGGGTCGTCTTAAAGAGCACGTTGTCATTTACTCCATCCTCTCCATCGGTGTCCTCTCCTGCATCCTGCTCGCCTTCTTCTGGGACAAGACGACAATAGTGGCCGGGGCATCACATAGCACAGCCTTCTTCATCATCACCTTCTTCCTCTCTCTGGTGGACTGCACCTCCTCAGTTACCTTCCTGCCTTTCATGATGCAGCTTCCAGCCAAATACGTCACCACATACTTTATTGGAGAAGGGCTAAGTGGTTTCATTCCTGGCGTCATCGCTCTGGCACAAGGTGTGGGCATCGCCAAATGTGTCAACTCCTCTCAGACTGCAGGAAACAACACAGGCGAGAACATGTGGTCATTACACACGGTGTATCTCCCTCCCAACTTTTCCACCGAGGTGTTTTTCTTCTTCCTAGCAGCCATGATGTGCATAAGCCTGGCAGCTTTTGTTGCACTGAACAGGCTTCCTCGGACATACGAGCTGTCCACCGAAAACCTCGTGCCAGACACTGTGGCATCTGTCAGCTCCGGCCTGGAGAACCCTGGAGCAGAGACTAATGGAGAGGGTGTGAAATGCCAAGGTGAGGAGGCAGCCCAGAGCAGGCGACTGCTGGCCGCCCCAAAACACTCTGTATATCAGCTAACCTTCATCTACTTTCTGGTGGTGTGGGTTAACGCTGCAACCAACGGCCTGCTGCCCTCTGTGCAGACGTACTCCTGTATGCCTTATGGGAACCTGGCCTATCACCTCTCTGCTGCTCTGGCATCGGTGGCCAACCCAGTGGCGTGCACCGTTGCAATGTTCATCCAAAACAGGTAAAAATTAAAGTTGCATAGATGTAGATTGTTCATTAAAGGATAGGTTCACAGTTTTTCAAGTCAGTCAGGTGCTCATACAAACAGTGAAACAGGTTGTAGTAGCTTTTTATCAATTCTGCCGTTTATACTGGCCATTAAGAAATCTCTTCGTAATGCTTCTCCAATTAAAGTGACTCAATCCACAGTCCGCAGTTGTTCTGTGCAAAGATATATTCC